TAAAAACGTCAAGGAAGACATTAAATTAAAAGAAGCCATAAATGGTTACATAAGAACGTAAATATAAAGTTAGCAAATATTATTTAATTCTCCAAAAGTTTGTAGAAATTTACAGCCATTGTCACGGTTGAGAAATATATATATATATATATATATATATATATATATATATATATATATATATATATATATATATATACATATATATATATATATATATATATATATATATATATATATATATATATATATATATATATATATATATATATATATATATATATATATATATATATATATATATATATATATATATATATATATATATATATATATATATATATATATATATATATATATATATAGAGAGAGAGAGAGAGAGAGAGAGAGAGAGAGAGAGAGAGAGAGATAGATATCAATTAATTTGAAAATAGTACAAAAAATATTTCATCAACTTGTAATTTTATTAATCATATTAGAGGAATTAAACTCTTTTTTTTTTCCACACATAAGCAAAACATAAAATTTTTAAAACGTTAAGTTAATACTTATTTTCAAATCTTATTTCAATAAAATAAGTTTAGAATGAGATAAACAATCAACAAAGATAATTATGCAAACAGCTCGTTGCTGAATTTAATAAATACGTTATAAATTATATTTATATCGTATTTATGACCTTAAAATTTATTTAAAACAGTAACTGTTCCAACTATGAAACAGTTAACGTTGTATACAGAATTTTTAAATTTTGAAAAACGTTTTATATACATCACTTGGATCATCATTAGTGTTTATGTTATTACAATGAATTAAAGATAGCTTAAATTAACGGTAAATTATGCTCAAGGGAGAAAATTACAACTTTTAAAATTATAACTTACGAGTCGAAAAGAATATATACAATTAATTAGTTCAATTGAAAATCCAAATTTTAACGCATATCTTCCTGTACTAACAGGTCTTATTGGGGGGAGGGTATACAATGCTCTAAAAATATTTTCTGCTATTAGTTGAAAGCAATGTTCTAATTATTTTCGAAATTAAAGTTTGTAAATTATTTAGTTTATAGACTAACAGAATGACTAAAAATGTTGTGTGACAAACAGTAACGGTTATTGCAATTAAAATTTAAAAAAAAAATGTTCTTTGGCTTCCTTTTAAAAAAAAAAGATTTATTTGTTGGGTAAATGCTATTCCACAAGACAATATTCATAAAATATAATAATCTATATAAAGTTGTTTGCAAAAGGCAATTTTTGTCATGATATCTAACAGGAACCAAATTTGGACATAAAAGTCCTTGTGATCTTCCGTCAGTTTTTGTGTCAACCCTGGGGATACAGACTCTTGTACCGCCATTAAGAACAACCTTTATATCATATTCTATCCAAAATATTATCAGAAGCTAATGATTTTTTAAACAACTTAACAAAAAGCACTAAAATGATACATCTTTTGCAACACGTTCATGATATGAGCTCTAGAACAGTTGGGAAAAATAAATACACCACAGAAACGAGCATTTGAATATTAAGCAATTTCAAGATAACTATATGGTAAGTTATTTAAAGATTATGAATTTACAAGTATTTCCTTTAAACAATGAACCTTTAAAACAAGATTCTATAATGAATGATACAGATTTCTTATTTTCAGTTTTTTAATGCTTGAGAATGAAATCAAAATAAAATGTTTTTATTTAATTATCGAAGTCTACATAAAATTATCTTACATAATATTCTGGCTCAGTCTTTTTTAAAGCTAAAAATAAACCAGACTCTTTAGCAACTACTGTTTCATGTTTTAAGTTAGCGTCATTTTATGAAGGACTGCAATATCTTTGAAGAATTTTTCCATTTTATGAGTTTGATTCTAAATTTCTGTTCGAAAAACTTAATTTTTTTCAGAAGAAATAAAGAGCGCTGGAGGAATACCTGCTGCTGTATTTGGCAAAAGGTGTACCTTCTCGCTTATAAAGCAAGCGTTCCACCACTAAACCACAATCTTACCAGAGATTTAGAAGCAACCTTAGATCATGAGTTTCATGATTTAGTAGTCATTACTTAGTCTTTGTGAAAAAACTCCATTTATTTATGCAATACTGGGAAAGCTCACAACTGACCTACTGAAGTTTTGACTAGATCATAAATCGATCATATTTAGTACCTACAAGTTTGTTAAAGAGTAAAAAAAAAACTTGAAAGATTTTTGAAAGACAAAAAGCGTATACTTGTCTACTTCATGAAGAAACTGCTATTGTCTTACTTGTCTACTTTATGAAGAAACTGCTATTGCTTTAAAATCTAACATAAACATAAAAGAAGTATACGTAATCATTACTTTTTTTGAAATAATTGTGTCTTTAAAAAATTATCAATACAAAATGTCCGTATGCTGATCTACAACATAAAGTTCCAGATAAAGGAGTTCATGTTATACTTAACTTTTCTTAGTTATTGTTGATCGGTTTTTAACAGCCCTTAACCGCATGCTTATTTTAACTGTTTGTCAAGCCTGTTAATACAAACAGCCATATTTGCACGCATAAGTGCCTTAAATAAAACGCAGTATAAAATTTTCTTCTCAGCAAATAGACGCGTAAACTAACAATTTAACAAATAAATGTGTGCTGCTTCATCGCAAAGAAAAGACGCCATTTTATACTTGATTAGATTTAAAGGATATCTCAGAAAAAGAAAAAAAAACTTTCCGTTTTATCTACACAATATTATTGATCTAAATCATGTTAGAGGAACAAAACGCTTTGAAGTAAAAGATGAATATCCCAAACGGCACTAAAAGCAAGGTAGCTTAAAATCTTCAAAGAATTGATTTTAATAACAGCATCATTAAGTATTATAAAATAAGTTGAAATGGACATTTGTAAACTTCCAGTAGTTGTTGGTCATTGTCATGTTGTTATCTTACTTGATTTTTTTTATAATGGTCAGAAGTCAAACCGGCAAGGTAAATCTGCCAAAATTATTCCTAAGTTTTATTTTGAGGATATGTATCGGTTCAAAAAAGTTCGAATCAATGATTAATTTTTGGAACTTTTAAACAAGGTATGCGAGCAACTGCATAAATTAAATAGAGTAGAACAATGAGATGCCTTTTTTATCATTTTCAACCAGATGAACTAGTTGAATGTGAAAGAAACCAAAAAAATGTAACATGTGTAAAATGCATGTAAAAATGTAATGAGTATAAAAAACACCTAAAAAAAAAAATTTAGAGGAAAATAACACTTTTTTTTTTTGGTCATGTTATAATTAATAAGTTATGAATTACGTAATGTTATGAATTACGTAATGTTAATACGTTTGAAATTAATGAAAAGTTTATTATTTTTCAATTAGTCTTTGTATTCTTAAAAATAGATTCAAATTTTTATTCATAAGTTTTAAAAATACAAAAAAAATAGGGTTTAAATTTACTTATTTTGTATTTTAGTTAAATTATTTGTTTAATAAAAACTTTTTTTAAACTATATTTTTTTATAATTATAAATATACGTAAAGAATAGAACACTCAAAACCTATAAATTGAAAAAGAAATGGCAGTACATCAGACCACTCATCTCTTTCTCAGTGACGGATCCAGGATTTTTTGCTGTTTGAGATAGCTTTGGAGCAAATTCCAAACATATGTATGTTTATACTTATGTCAAATAATAAGGCTTTGCAAAAAATTGCAATGGTTGCAGGTTAGAAACAAAAAAAAAATTTATTAAGACATATATGATGCAATTCTCGGAAGTGCGTTTACATTTCTGCTGACTCATTTGCATAAAGTGTTCATATGCTCTTTGAAGGAAAGTTTGTTGCTGAGTTTTATTCCAAGTAATTTAACATTTTTGGATGTTTTAATTGTTAAATTAGAAATAGTCCAAGAATAAAAATACTCCAAGATTACTATGTTTGCTGATGATAAGGTAACCTTTTTTAGAATTTGACTTTATTCCATTATTTTTGAACCATATAGTTGATTTGCGGTTTTTTGGAGGTTGGCAACCTCCAATAAAAAGTAACGTCTTTTCTTGTGCAGTATCGAGTATTACACCTGCATATCTAGCAATTTCAACGTTAGGAAGGAAAAAAAATAAATCACACATAAAAATGTTAAACAGAGGTCTAAGAATCGAACCTTGCGGATCTCCGTATAATATATCAGTGTAACAGCTAAATTCATTATTTATTCTTACTCTTTGTTTTCTATTCATTAGGTAGGAAAACATAAACATTATAATGATTGGACTAAAGCCATGGGAATCTAGTTTGGCAATTAGTAACGCATGGGATATGCAATCAAAGGCTTTAGAGAAATCAGTTAGTCAAGCGTCAAAGTATCCGTTGCAATCTAAGGCTTTTCTCCATTTTTCGTTACACTTTCGTTGACACTTTCATATAAAAAAAGGACTGCGACTCTTTTTTACTACCCAGCCAGCATTTGTTTTTAAAAATTACGTTCTGAATGTATTTTAAATGTCTTTTAAACGTCTTCTAATCATTCTTACGTAAAGAACGTTTAAAAGACATTTAAAAAACTTTAAAAGAAATTTAGAACGTAACTTTTAAAAACAAATGCCCGTAGGACATTATCTCGGTTGCTATGGTTGTCGAGGGTTCTTTGTCGAACACGCTTGAATGGGCATTAATATTATGTTCGGCACTACCCAGTGGACACGGACGTAAAAAAAACCGTCTTTTAAACGTCTTATACACGTTTTGGACGTCTTTTGAACGTACTGAACGTTCAAAAGACGTCTTTTTTTGGTCCGGCGCCCACTGGGCAACTAACAGCACTAATATTAAGTTCGGCAATAATATATAGAGAGAATAAATGATTTATTTAAAAAATATTAGCGTTTTTTAATAGGTCTGGAAAAATGTTATTTGAAATAGCGTAGTTATAGTCTCTACATATAAAATCAGAAAAAATAATAATGTTATCTTTGATTATTCTAGTTTGTATATCGTTCTTTTGTTGTGCTTTAGATTTATTTAGTTTAGAAATATGGCTTGATACTTTTTTGGTGGCAGTTTGTTGGAAAGAAAAGGGTATTGAACTTTTTAATAAATTTTTATTTGCAATAATACTTGGATGTGATTTGTACTTAAATATCGAATTTTATATGGGGTCATGGATAAATGTTTCGATTGTTTCAGGGATCGGTTTGATGCACAAACACAATCTTTATAATATGCGTTAAAAATAACGGCCACGAGGTTATTATCTGATATTATAGAATTATTTTCCACTTTTTTTTTTTTCATTAAGTTGTGAGTTCTCCTTAAAATATGGCTTCACTGTTTTCCAAAAAGATTTTATTGTAGGTAACATTTTTAGCTTGAAGATTTTCGAAAAATAATTTTTTAGTATTTTTTAGGAGTCCTACGCATAAATTTCTTTGACGGATGTATGCTATTTTACTTGGTTCCGTTTTGTTCAAACAATAACGGTTTAGTAATCTAGATCCAATCATTAACGTTTTTTTATTTCTTCAGTTATAAATTCGGCTTGGTTTTTTTGTACATACTTTTTTTTTGTAGTGCATGCTTATTAAAACTGACTATTACGGTATCTTTAAATACAAAAAAATACAAATATTGTATGTTTATTTTTTTATCCATTTCTTTTACCAGCTCATTTTGGAAATTTTCGTTATCAAAGTTTTTAAAGCATCTGTATGTAATTATCCTTCGTTTTTGGTTAGGGAAGTTACATCATAAGACCGAGATTACCAGTTTATGAGAGTCGGATAGAAAACTATTAAGATAAGCGTGTGCAATATGCATATTACAAAAACAATAAACTCTCTAACCCGTTTTTATAAGAGTGTGGCGTCCCTCAGATATTAATACTTAGACCTTTTCTTTTTTTTTTTTATCTTTGTAAACGATCACTTTATGACATCAAAAAGAATTTCAACTTTAATGATTGCTGGCAACTGTTTTCTCACCGGAAAAATTATAGTTAAGCTATGCCTATAAATGAAACAAAAATTAGAAAAAATTTCCGATTAGTTTAAGGCAAACGAATTCTCTGTAAAGGAAAATAAAGTATTTTCTATTTCATTCTTGCTTAAAAAAAAAAAAAAGTTAAATCTGCTATTCCGAAATCGTTCATTAAAAATAGTGAAATAAGTAGGGATCTTTGGGTGTTTTTATTGACGCAAATCTATATTGGAATAAAAATATCGCTTATTTAGGTAGTAAAATATCTAAAAGTATTGGAATAATATACTAGTCATGCTATTTGTTAAAACCACTACTCAAACAAATCTACTAAAGTTTTGTTCAAAGTAATGTAGACAACGGTAGTTAGAATGGGGTAGAACCTTTAAAACTAAATAAGAACCTCTATACCGTAAATAGAAGCAATCAATATGAGTGATTAATTTTAAAAATAAAAAATAAAAACAGCCAAAACCTCTTTTTGAACAAACGTCTTTATTAAAATTGTTTGAACTAAATGTATATAAAAGTTTTAAATCTCATGTATAATTGGAAAATTTAAAAAAATCTTAATTTTTTTATAATCTTTATGAGCAAAAGCCGGGGTATAAATATTTATTGCTCACAAATTAAATTGTGTTAGTACCGTGTTCATTCAAAAATAACCTTGAGCAATTGAAAATGTTTTACCGTGGACGTCATAGATGAACATCACAGCTATGAAGTCATAGCTGGACATCAAGTTTTTACTACTTAATCTAAATATCATTGACTTAAGAAACTTAAATTGTTTAAAAAAAAATTTTTTTGAGTAAAAAAATTTAGTCTGATTTTTTCTAAATTTATTCGCTGCTCTTTAAATAATTTCTTGTTTTTAAAAATATATATTTTTTGAACAATTAGCAAAAATGTGTAAATATTAAAAAAAAAATTGATAAATATATTTGTTATCTTACATTTTAATACCATTATAATATATACATTGTAATGATTTCTTGTAAAATTTTTGTGATTCTTTTTTTTAATGTACGGCAATGTAATGCAGTTCTTGATGATCAGACCATTTAGTCTTCTGCCAATTTCCCATGTTCGTTTTACAGTAATACAGTGAAGTCTATTTATCATTTACGTGAAATGACTTGGTTAACCTTTTTTTTTATTTCTATATGTTAACGAATTTTTATTATGTAATTACTAAGTTGTATATTAAAAAACAAAAAATTAACTTAAAATAAATAAAAATAAATAAATAAACACAAAGTTAAACACAAAGTCAAAGTCACAGTGATTGCAATCACCCTGACAACAGTAAAAACTGACAATCAGTAAAGGTTCGGCTACGAATAATGCTTTCGATGTATTTTTCATTTGGAGATAGCTAATGATAACTTCATTCAATTACAAACTTTGTTACTTTTGCAAAAAAGTAACAAAGTTTGTAATTGAATGAAGTCATATTATGACATCATATTTACCTCATCATTTTACGATAAAGACTAATTTCATACAAATAGAATACCTGTATTTTTATTAAATAAATGCATATACTTTTTTTACTGATTTAGTAAGGTAAGTGAAGTAAATGTGTTTTTATAGTTGCAATACTAATTTAATTTTTCAATAAAAAAAAAATTTTTTTTACAAATCAAGCTCGAGTCAGTTTCTTTCTTGCAACATAAAAAGATTTTTGTCTGTCGATAAATAGATTTTTATTTTTATCTGTTTATTTAAAATATTTAAAACTTTTTCCTTCTCGCAATTTTTATGCATAAACAAGTGCTGACCACAAAGTGTTTTTTACTCCTCAGTCACAAAGAATCCAACAAAAATCAATTTTTTTTTCTTTTTTCTGACTCAGACTTTTCTGAAAACTCGTTGTCGAGAACCGACTTCTTTTGTTCTAAAGATAAATTTGTTTCAAAGATATGCCTACGAAGCAATATGTAAAATTGACTAAGATTGTCGTATTTTGTTGTTGTTATTTTGTTTTACATAGATTATGAATAGGAGACAAAGATAATCTTGTTTTACATTTGTTTATAAAACTTAGAATATTATATACATTAAGTTAGTATATGTTTCATACTTTCATTTTTCTTTAGAAAATCTTAAATAAGTTAGCTGATCACATGAGTTAACTAACGCATTATGTGTTTTTAATAACAATGAAAAGGCTCAACTTAAAGAATATGCTACACAGTATACGCAGCGTAATATATAAATTGTAAAATGTTTCACAATATATTTGAATAAGTAGTAACAAAAACGTTTATAATTCATATGATTTACATTGATAACTAAACCAATGTTCATTCCACTGCATCATCAATGTACATTTTAGAAATGTATAGAACATGCCATTTTATTTGAATAAATTTATGCTTTAATCCTATGGTTTGGAATATTTCTCTAATGCAGTTTCATTTCCATTTATTTCTAGATGTTTTGTACAATAATTAAAACATTAGCAGTTCTACAAAAAGCTTTTTTTCTGCATGCTTGCAAAAATTTCTAAAAGATGCAAGGGATTTGTAAGATTTGTAACATCTTTTATCTTTCTAAATTGCTAGCTCTGACAAAATTCTAAGAGCACTAAATATTTTACCAGCTTTTGTTTAACGAAAATTCTCTTTACGATTGTTTCGTTCTTAAACCTGATTTTGAGCTTTTGCATAATTAACAAAAGGATAAAATACATTTACTTCATAGGTTGGTTTGATTCTAGCCCATTTATAAAAATAGTATTAAAACAGCTTTAAAACAGCTGTGGGAACACAGTAAAAAATGAAAATCTTTTTACTTACTATCGGTATTATCGGCTTGTATATCTTTAGTTGTCTGTTCATATTACCTGCTCCATTACCCTTTGCTAACAATAATATGTTTATTAGCATAAATTGAATAAAGACATGACAACTATTGTCAGCTTTTACATTTTTGTGAGATCCACAATGCAGGTTTTTATAAAACATTCCATGATTCTAAGTTTACCAAAACATGACAACGAATGATGTTTGTTATTATAGATGCATCAGTGGTTTTATCAAACATTATGAGGAAAAATTGTCTTTTATTAGTCTGAAATTATATTTGGCATCTCAGGTCTTTTTTTCAGTATCTCACGTCTATTAAAAGTCTCTTTTTTCCGCGTCATATCTGCTATGGGCATAGTTTATACTAAATTATATCTTAAAAATAAATCTGCCACTTTAAAAAAGTTTCCTATTGTGGAACACTCGGTACTAATGATTTCTTTGGCTAACCGGCTTGACGGTTAACCGGATTTTGTTCAAATATCAAATATCTATATTCGAATAATAAAAACCAATTTTTTGACTTTTGACTTTTTAGTTTTTAAAAACACTTTTTTATTAAGTTGATTTTAAAGAATAAAACACAATTGATTTTAAAATGGTAATATAAAACGCAAATCAATGACGTTTTTGAGATAAATCACATAACTTATGTTTTCCGCTTTCAAGGCATCATTGCTGTTGCTTATGTTCATAAAATCTAATCGCTGTTAAAATTTATGTTAATAAAATTAATCATAGAAATACTTTAAATTATATAAAATATATACTTATATAAATAAAAGAAAAGAAATGAAATCAATTAACGCCAGAACATGTAGACATGCTGGTTTTTCTGTATAAAAATTCAGAGTTACGTGGAAATCTGGTTGCTGATAATGAAGAAGATGATGATGATGATGATGATGATGATGATGATGATGATGATGATGATGATGATGATGATGATGATGATGATGATGATGTGATGATGATGATGATGAAGATAATGATGATGAAATTCAAATCAGCAGCGATGTTGAGACGATGAAAGATAACAGTGATGTAACTATAAATTTGCCCCTCTCCCCCGTCAAAAAAGTAAGAGAGCCCCTTTACTTTTTTAATTTACTTTAAGTTTTTTCAACATTAAGAAATTCTAAACGTTCTAAATTAGAATGTTACTTTTTTAAAAAAATCCCCGTGAAACGTGAAAAATTATAAATTCATAAAATGTATTTGATAAAACAGAAATTAGTAACACTCATATTATTATTACCAGTCATATATATGTATATATATATATATATATATATATATATATATATATATATATATATATATATATATATATATATATATATATATATATATATATATATATATATATATATATATATATATATATATATATATATATATATATATATATATATATATATACTCAAATATGCCATCGATGCATGTATAGATAATTAAAAAATGATTTAATAACTTTATTTTTTTAATACAATTTTATAATACAATAATAGCATTTTATTTTTGTTTTGTATATCAGTTTAATAAATATTTTCGAGTCTTTTCCGTAAATGCACGTTTCGAAATGCTCCTTTTGTAAAGGACTGTTGCAAAAGTCTTCGAAATGAATTGTTTAGCAAGTCGTTCTTACGGAGTTTGTATTTTTTTATTTTTCCTATAACGCTTTACGGAAAGTGATTTTTGACTAAAAAATTGTTTAAATCTATATTAAAATATAATACTGCATAAAGTAGACTTTCTATTAATTAAAAAAAAAAAATCAAAAAATTTAAAAACCTAAAAATCAGTTTGTTTAGCAGATTTTTTTAGGTAAACCAAAAACCAAGAAATTTTTAATTTGAAAAGAAAAATTGGCATCTCTGCTTCCAAACTAGCAAAAGGGATTTAAAATATTGACGGAATTAAAAAATTAAATAAGAAAGTTTCTTTAAATTTAGTTAAAAGATAAATTAGCGTTTCCACGGTAAAATTTAACTAAAAAGTAAAAAAAAAAGCTTTATTGTTAAGCTTACTATTGATATATGTTATGCTTCAAAGAGGTTTACTATTCGAATTTTATTTTATTTTATTTTTTTCATGTTATATCGTTCAAATTTTATCCAAAAAAAGTGTGGTCGCAGCGATAAGTTTTTTCTGACTGAAAAAACTGCGTTGCAAATTCACTAAATCTTTTCTAGCATCGCTGGTGACCGTTTTCCATTTTATTTAAGAACGTTCAGAAGACTTTGAAAGACTCGTAAAAATAAAAGCTTTTATGGTACGATGTCCTTGACGTGCCATACAAAGAAAACCATGTTTTTTAAAAAAGTAATGCATTATTGACATCAATTGACTTCTGATTTAAAATTAGCACTGTCAAATTAGTTAAAAGATATTATAGCTTTTATGAATTTTTTTAAAGTTTTTTGTAGAGTGTTGTTTTATTTTTACTTTTTTTTTTTTAGGTTTAATAGCAAATAGCTTTGTTGCTTACCTTATTATTTGTGATGGTAAACTTAGAACTGTTATCAATTTGCTTGTTTTGAATCTTGCAATCGCAGACATAATTGCTTGCTTAAGCATCTACCCTTTTATATATATTAACCTAGCTGAGACTAGAATACGAGGAACTACAGCTAATGTTTTATGTGGTTTTACGGATGGCTTGTTTGGTTTCTTTGTTGCAGCCGCTGTTTCATTAATAACTTTAAGTATGCTTTCTATCATTAGATATTTTGGTATAAACCACCCATATAATCAAAGATGGACACTTCAATATAACCATATGAAATGGGTCTTTGGATTAATTTGGGTATTTAGTTTGGCACTTGTTTTACCTAACCTTATTTCATTTAAGTACGACGAGTATTTCAGGCTATGCGTAAGAAATTGGGCGGTTGGTGTTAATCCACTAATTTATTTTATTTTTACAATCATTTTAGGAGTGCTTTTGCCTTTATCTTCTCTATTGTTTACATATTTTACAAGTTTTTATACACTTTTTCTCAAAGATTGTTTTAATAATAACTTAGTTGTATCAGAAAGAAATAATGTAATTAAAAAAAGAGCCCTCAAATGGTTAGGAGTTCTTGTGTTAACTTATATTATTTGCTGGTTACCTTTTATTCTATATTGGTTTTTATCCGTAGTCATTGGTAAGTACTCAGTAAGTAATTACGAAGATGTAAGAAAGGGCGTTCGTCTTGCAAGATTAACATTATTTTTTGCTGCATCAAATACTGTATTTAATCCGATAGTCTACGCATTTAAAAGTAAAAAGTTAAGATCTGCTTTCAAATCATTATTTGGATTGCACGTTCGTGATGTAACTAATTCAACATCAAGAAGAGTTTTAACTCAATCAATTTCTAGCATTACAATAACTACAACAATTTAGCGTCCGTATCTTCTAAATGTTTGTTAGTTTTTTGATAATTCATCGGTAGTTGTAAATGTACCATTGGTAATTCACAAACTCTATTTTGAAAAACTAATAAAAATAATAATATGCGTACTTAACAAAACTTTTTGCAAGAATATCAAAGCTTTAAAAATTTTGGCTGTTTTAATTTGAACTTATTGTCAGGGAATTTTATTTTTTTAAAACTATGAGATAGCAAAATAAAAATTATTCAATTCCAACCTTCAACTGGTCTTTAAAATAAATTTTTTATTCAATCAAAAAATCTGAAAAACAATTTTAGTTTCAGCATCAGTATGTCTTAATATGAAATATATTATATACCTTTATTGCATTCATCAACAATTTAAGATGTGTTAAATTTTTTTTTTTTTTTTTTTGTTACATAAATTTTGGCTACATAGATTTATAATGAATACCAATGAGTATGTAAAACTCTATATTTTATAAATGTTAGATATAAATAACTTTTGCTTGTAATTTTTGTTTTTAAACCTTTTTAATCATGTTTATAAAAACAAACTTTGTTTACAACTGTAGAAAGCACAGATTTTAATATGTCTAATTTAATCTTTAAAAAGATGAAGAAAGTTGCAGCCTTAAGAAAGATAGTAAATATTAACGTTAGTATTTTCGACTATTTCCTGAAGTAATGAATAATTTTGTCAAAACTTTTTTTACAGATTTTTCAAAATGTTTAAAATTTATTTAAAACTGTTATAATTTAGTTTATTTATTTAATTTTTGCTAGTTAAAAACTTATATCCCAAATGTTTTCTTAGATATTTAAAAGTTATATAGCTAATTATGCATTAGATAATAATGAAAAATTAGTGAAAATTAATAAAACCATTAACATTGTTATGCTTTTTTGTAGAACTGAAAGTTTTGTAGAACTGAAAGTAGTAAAGCGTGGTTGTTTTTTTAAATTCTTTTTTCTTAATAAAATATAATAAATATTTTTTAAATATATTTATTATTACGATTCATATTATATAAACTTTTATATATTACATATTATTTACATAGTGATGCTATTCAAAATACAAGGTATTATTATTTATTTAAAGATGTCTTTCGCTTCTTTTATCAAAAAGCGTTATCGTCTTCGTTGTCTTCTTTACTTCTCTCGTCACTGTCTCTTTTGCGTCAATCGAAACTGCTATTTTCTTACATCACCGCAGACGACCACCAAAGCAATCTCTGACGTTATTAAAAAACCGTGCAACTTTTAACTCAACTTCGTTTTTTGTGATGCCGGGGAAAAAGTGATCAGTTAAAGCTATAAATATATCATAATAAAATAATCACTATTATAATTATTTTAATTAAATAAACAGTAATTACTATTATCATAATTACTATTTGTTTAAGAGACTGTTGCATATATTTACATCAACAATATAAATATGTGTATAAATATAAGTAAATTGTTAATAACAATAGATTAACAACTTTCGTTACTTTATTTTATTGTTTCAAATAGTGATTGTAAGTCAAATGGGTTACTCACAAAACTAAAAAAGTTTAGAAATACTTTATATAATTATTATTACTTCCCGAAATCAACAGTTTATGGCTACTTGTATATTCAGAAAATAATAAAAACATATCATATTCTTTGGGTGCTTTTCAAACTTCAGAATATTGCAGTACAATTGAATACAGTAGAATTGAAAATTGGGAACTGGATTTGGCTGATATTCCGATCAACAGGATCATTACAAAAACATTCAACTTAAATTGAATATAATTCAGTTTACAAAAAATGTGCGCACTCATAAGAAAGTGACCTGTTATGAAAGTGTCTCTTATAAAAGAAAATGACCTGTTTCTAATTTTACTTAAAACATATAATACTCCTATTTTCCATGAAAAAACATAGTAAAAAATAAATACTGAGCCTAAGCAATATAATATATTCAAACCTTGTGGATTAAATGGTTCACCAATTAGACGATTGCAAATACCAAGCATACTATCATGCACCTGTAATAAACTTGAATCAGCGGAATACCTGACTAAACTAAAATTATAACATTTTACAATAATGACAATTATATATATATATATATATATATATATATATATATATATATATATATATATATATATATATGATATATATATATATATATATATATATATATATATATATATGTATATATATATGTATATATATATATACATATATATATATATACATATATATATATGTATATATATATATATATATATATATATATATATATATATATATGTATATATATATATATATATATATATATATATATATATATATATATATATATATATATATATATATATATATATATATGTATATATATATATATATATATATATATATATATATATATATATATATATATATATATATATGTATATATATATATATATATATATCAAGATAATACTTTTGCATGAAAAATAAATATTTTGCGGCATACGTTTGACTGATTATCTGTATGTGGAACGCTTGCAACCTATTCAAAATAAAAAGAAATTGACATAATCAAACTTATTATGTGAAAGATATAGAAGTATATTACAATTTTTAAAAAATTGCAGTTGCCTGGATAGATGCAGGTAATAACAAACTAGAAATCTTTAAAGTATGTATATTAATAACACAAAATAGAAATTTTAAAATAACCTATGTTCTGATGCAATAAAACTAGAATAAAGCAATATTAAGTAAATTTACTTTACCTTTAAGGTTTAGAAAAAGAAAAGAAAACATACATTAATTTGACAACTCGTAGTTATTGAAGAGCAACACTAAAACATTAAAAAACTGTATTAAAAGCTTATCATTTGAAAAGTTAAATGAGAATTATCTGTTTATAAAATGTTTAGATATTTGTTTCTTTTGTACTCTAAAAATGTGTGAAACTTGATGCATCAGTAAAAAAAAATCATTTAAATAACATTGGCATAATTAGTTTTTAACAGTGGCAGAGGCTTTAAAGCTGATTTAATAGCACTATCCTGGGTATGCTGAGTCTAAAATACCAAAAAATTTTATGGATAAAAAATTACTAAATAAGCTGTCTAAACTGTTGCAATAAATAAAACATTACCATTGATTTAAAACAAAAATCGGTATCAAAATTGTCTTTAGAGTCTTTAGACGCTGTGCGAAGTGGATGAATTAAAAAAAAATAGATAATAAATTCTTTAAAAATATATAAAACCATAAAAAACTAAACATAAAAAGATATAAACATATCTATAAACATATTTTTGCATTTTTTATGTACATAAACCAGAAGCACTCGTTGTCTGATTAAGCCATGGACTGGGTTGAAATAAGTTTGTATAAAAGTTATTGTATTTAACCTTCAACAACATTGGTATTATTAAAAGATATCTGTGTAAAAAAAATTTTGAGTTTTTAACGGTGACGAGGGTTCTACAGCTAATTTAACAGTAGAGTTCTTTTTACGTTGTGCCTAAAATACCAAAATATTTTGTAGATAAAAAATTACTAAACAAACTATCTAAACTGTTACAATTAATAAAACATTAACTCAGAACAAAAATCTGTATCAAAATTTGAGTCTTCAGAAGCTGTATGTATGATTAAAAAAGATTTGGATAATAATATTCCAAAAAGAATGTATGCTTATACTAAAGTGCAACAGAACGTTCATGTATCTATTGGCGTTATATCTGATACAAAAGGTGAAACGTTAACAGAGGGAATACATATCGCAAACAGACTTAACGAACACTTTAAATCAGTTTTTGTTGATGATAGCAAAAATGATCAGTTACCGGTTTTTGAGAGAAGACATAATCAAGAAGACTTAGGCGATGTAATAATAAATTTTGAAGCGACGCTAGCCTTTTTGAATGGTTTGAATCCGAATAAATCTATTGGTGTTGATAAGATTAGTCCAAAGGTACTTAAAGAATGCGCAGCTCAAATGACTTACCCTTTAACGTTAATTTAAAATAAAGCACTGTCTGAAGGCTCAACACCTTCAACCTGGAAGCAGTCACACGTTACACCGTTGTTTAAAAAAGGAAGTTGTCTTGATGCCGCTAATTACAGACCAGTGTCTATCACTTCAGTTCCATGTAAAGTAATGGAAAAGATTATCGGGGAACAGATAACTAAATATCTTTAAAAAACGAGCTGCATCTCAAACAATCAACATAGATTTATGTCCAAAAAGGGATGCACGTCTATCTTATTAGAAAGTGTCGACTACATTACGAAAGTGTTAAGCAAAAAATTTTTTGTCGATATTGCATTTTTGGACTTTGCAAAAGCGTTTGATAAAGTTTCTCATTCTATACTACTACATAAATTGAAAGCATATGGGATCAATGGTAATGTTGGCAAATGGATTGAGTCATTTTTGACTAGCAGAAAACAACGAGCTGTTTTAGGTAATCACTCTAGCAACTGGACCGATGTTTTAAGCGGAGTTCCACAAGGGTCTTTACTTATTCATTATCTACATAAATGACTTAACAGATAATTTAAAATCAGTTCATAAAATCTTTTTCCTACAGCTGCAAACAGTGCATCTTTTACTGAAGATGAGCTGCACGTTTAAATTAATTAATTCATGCTTTAGCAGCTACGAATAATGACTTTTTAGGTACATTGGTTATAAACGTAAATTGTAATTAAATGAAAGCAAAAAAAAAAATTAAAAATTAAAAATTAAAAAAAAATGCTTTTGTTTTTTAACCTGTTTATTTGATTTTTTTTATTTGTCATATATATATATATATATATATATATATATATATATATATATATATATATATATATATATATATATATATATATATATATATATATATATATATATATGTGTGTGTGTGTATATATATATATATATATATATATATATATATATATATATATATATATATGACAAATACATTGATAGGTAAATAGATATATGATATATGATAGATAAATAGGTAAAGCTACAGTTGGAAAGGACTTTTCGAATATAATATATATTTATTGGTTTCAGTGCATACATATTACTTACTACGGTTGAGATAAAAACTAAACTTTTTATAACCAGTGATCGTTACTATTTTGTTCTGTAGTAATATTAGGTAAACAAATACACAAATATTTATTATTTATTAGTACTATATTTTGTAAATATAAATTATACAAGTAAGTATAATATATATTGACAAAACTTTATCTTGACTAAACTATAATAGAGATGTATGATACATGCATAAAGTTTGTTTCAAAACTTGAAAGTCTTTATGATCTAAAATCCAAGAAACAGTTTTTTTTTTTAATTTAATTCACATATATTTTAACTTTTTGAAAAATTATATAAATGTTAAATATATATATAAATGCGTGTGTGTGTGTGTATGTGTGTGTGTGTGTGTGTGTGTGTGTTTGTGTGTGTGTGTGTGTGTGTGTGTGTGTGTGTGTGATTTTGTTTATAATTATTTTTTTATGTATATAAAATTTTATTAGCAATTGCTCTACATTATTTATACAAGATAAACTTTTAGTAGAAATGACTTCGTATGTATAATATTGCGCCAGGTTTTTTTTTTAGCCTAATCAGAAGACTTTACTCAGTAGTAACAATCATCTATTAGAAAAAAGTTAAGAAAGCGACTATATGTTGAGTAAAAAAATACTTTTTTTCACCTTATAAAGTAAGGCAATTATAAATATTGACAGACCTAAATGTTGACTTAAGAACTAAAGAGATGTAAGATGCACGCGTAAAGTGATTCAGAGTCTTCAAGTTCTAAACTTCTAGAATGAGGTTGTTTTTTTTAAGTTTAGCTCATATATGCAAGTTTTTTTTTTAATTTTTTGAAATTAGTGTTGTATTTAATATTCTTAACTTAATACTTCAATGAAAGTTTATATATAAGATTGAAGTGTGCAATTTTTGTATTTTTTTTTTTTTTAATATCAATTTTAGTACGATGAGTGAAACATATCACAATTGTTTTCACATTAGAGAAGCAAGTCCTGCTATTAAAGTGCAAAATAAATCAAAAAATTAAAGTGCAAATAATTGCCAAATGTAAGCTCTTATGTTTTTATTCAACATTTTATGCTAAATAAAACCAGATAAATGTTTTTCGAAATATTTAAAACTGCGTATGTGTTTTTAACAAGTTGCTAAATAATACATTATACATAATAATACATAAAACATTTCTTCAACAAGTTAAAAAAGAATTTCAGCGATGCATTGCTGTACTTTATTGTTATGATAAAATTGCCATCAAGTTTTGAGTCTATTAGTGGAACAAGTATGTTATTATATGCTGTCTTTTCCTTTTTTAAAAGATGTTTAATGTATTTAAGTTAATTTTCAGTTTTCCACAACAGTTTTTTATTAAAATTTTACTTAGTTCGAACTTTTTTTTTCTAATAGGTTTTCAATCTGCAATATATATGAAACTACCATACCTAAAGTCTTAAAAAGTCTTTATCTGCAGTGGATATCCTGGGGGAAAAGACTGAGTTTGAAGATTCATAATTTTGTTATGATAAAATTAATGATATAACAAGATTTGATGAAAGTAAAATAATTTTTACTAATAAAACAAAGTTTTATTTGTTGTTATATTCTTGTTTACATTTATGTATAAAGTTTTCCTAAATAAAGTAAAATGTGATCAAACTAAATATATTCTATGATTTTTTTTTAAGGTCTTTTTCAGCTCTGCTATTAATGTCTTGGATGAAATAATGTCAAAATGTGTTCTACCATTGTTGAAGAAAGCTGGAACTTATGGAAATAAATCATTTTAAAAAAACCTTATTGAGTAGAGTAATTATAGGTACTTTTGAAATTTTTGTATTGTTTCTTTAATATACTGTGTGGTATTTTCCATTACTCACTTCTTATTATTATAATTAACATTTTGATGCATTTTTTTTTTACATGCTAGTGAAATGCATGAAAGATTTCTATGGTATTTTTCTTTTTTAGGAACATTAGTGTCACATACAGCAAAATTCGCTTTTGTCGATAAGTTGAAAGGCGATTGTTTGAAGAGAATAATTGAATAAATAGCTTCATAGAATAGCAAAACAAACTACTTTATTATGTTTTTGTATGCTTAAATTGTAAATAAACATAAAATGTTAAAATTTTTAGTTATTTATGCGGATCTACACTGTTAGACCTAAGTTTTCATTTGTGAAAAGGTTTTTTTTTCTGTACAACATAATTTATTTACTTAAATAACTGATACTTAAAAAAGAGGTTGTTAAAAAAATGTTAAAAACGACAAAACGTTTCATTTAGACGTAATAAAAACCAATAAATAACGTTTTCAGAAAAACGTTCGTTCACCGCTTCATATGGATGTTCAAAAAATCAATAAAAAACGTTTTTGGAGGTCCATCAAAAAACGTTCACAAAACGTTTTTAAAAAAACGTCCGTTCACCGTTTCATATGGACTTTTGTAAAACTATTAAAAAACGTTTTTACGGGACCATTAGAAAACGTTCGCAAAACGTTCTTGTGCCCACTGCGAGAAGTTCTTCAAACAAAAAATTGTATATAGGCTTCAACTCTTATCGCGTTCTCTTAACTACTTGATTAAAAATCACTAAATAAAGAATTTTTAAAGTTTATGGTTGTTTCTAAGTATTTTTAAATTATGATCGAACTGTTTCTGCAATTGTTTGATTTTATTACAGATTAAGTAAGGAAAACTTTATAGTTCGAATCAAGGAAACTTTGGACTATTTTGTTATATCACTGCAATATCACGCTTGCAGCAACTTATAAGATAGGTTTATATTGTTATTTTGCATTTTAAATCCCATTGAATTAAACACAAATAACCGTATAACCAATTGCAGTATAGTTTACCCAATGCAATCAATATAGTGCGAACACAAAACTAGATCACCGACGTAATAAAACATTAAATCAATGGTGCGCATGCATTTTTCGAAAAATAACTTTCAGAATGTGTCAAAACGTAGAAAACAAGGCGATTTACTAAAAAAATACAAAATGTAGCCATAATTTATTTTTATTTTTTATTGTTATAATTTTTATTGTTATAATTATACTTTCTTCTTTAAAATAATAAATAATATTTTAAAAATTTAAAAGACGTTCACTTATTATTGCGAATAATTTTTTACAAAAATAGCTATTACCACTAGTGGCTTCCAGTTTTATTTTATAACCTCCAACTTTAAAACTAATACTTAGCATCGCCTTTTTTTTTCGAGGGGGAGGCGGATAGAGACAAAGTTGTACGCCGCACGAGAGAGGCAAGTAAATTAGAGGGTTTTCGACCCAAGATTTGGTTTCGAAAAAAAGAGTTTTTGACGCGAAATTCGTTCGAAAAAAGTTCGATTTTTCAAAATATTTTCTTTTTTCTAGAGGAGTTTTTTTGCAACGTAAAGAAGTTATTAAAACTTTTATATTTGTCACAAATCTCAACGGTAAAAAGAAATTTGCAAAGTAAACGTACATCAAGAAATTAATTGCCGATTAAAGACAAATACAGAGCAAAACAAAAGTTAGTAATGCGAAAACGTTATAGAATTCTTTCATACATTTGCATCGATACCCAGCCGGCACACTGTGCGTCACTATCCGGAAATAGGATTTTACTTACGTTTATTAGGAATTTTTCCAATTTTAACTTAAAAAATATTTTATACGGAATTACGTTGGTAGTTCATCAAAGAAAGATTATTTCATTTTTTTAGATTTGCTATTAAAGAGAGAGGGGTGGGCGAAAATAACGTGTTGTTGATAATTATTTGAATTACTTCTGACAAAAATTAAAATTCGGCATTATACTTATATATTTTTAACTTAATGATATATTAAATTAATTAAAAATCAAGAAAACTCAAAAAAAGTTTTTTTTATACTAGTTTTTTCTTGTTTAGTCCGTAATGACTTGTTTTTTTAATTCTGTGCGTAATGATTTAATGGATTAAATAATGTTAATACAGCCAGCCAGTTTTTTTATAAAAAAATATTCTTACTACCTCTTTAGTGAGAATTCAAGTTACTTTTACAAATGTAAACTGTATAGAGAACCAACTCAAATCTTCACCTAAAGCTATTGTCATTTATTGCTATAAAGATCAAAATGATTTAATAAATAAACAGTAAAGTCTATCGGTTTGCAACTCTTTATTACCAGTAAACTAAATTAATCTGAAAAAGAAGAAAAAAAAACTCCGGTTTTCTAAGAATTTTAATTTTTTCTTATATTCGCATAAAAATGAATATGCGATATCCTGTGTAAAAATTATTTCAAACTATTCAACGGTTAATTACCTATTTCCTTTTTTAGTAGGAGTGCAACACTTGGTGTGGATTTGGTCTGAAAAAAGTGTCTTTTGAACGTTTAAAGCACATTCAGAATGTTTAAAAAAAGAGCTTCACTTTAAAACAAAAAACAAAAAAAACTATTACTTATTTTTAGCTTAACTTCCTTCTTCTTTCTTTTTCTTTTCTTCGTTCTTTGATTCTGTTTAGAAAACTAGAACTTTCATCTTTGCAATCACTTCAAACGGAACCATAAAAAATAAAAGGGAGATGCGTCTCATAGATGCGCATACAAAACAACAAGAAAAAAAGAATACAGATAACGAGTCGAAATGATAAACTCATAATTTAACCCAGCTCCGATAAATACAGTTGATATGAAAAAAAATGGATTGTTGTGTAATGCCATGATTTATAATCGATGATGGATGGTCACTTGAGGCAACTTCTGATTTCTTTTTAGATTGCCTTCGTCGATTTTTTTGGTGTTTACTTAGAAACAATATAATCCATATATATTACCACTATATCTCAAAAATTAGATAATGTTGTCAATAATCTATAATAGTCATTAAGCTATTTTCACTGCAGAAATTATAAAAAAACTGTTGTCTAAATTTGGTTAAATTTCAGATAACCTTTTACGAGTTACAACTGACGCTACTAGTATGACGTGTACTCTCCAGCTTTAAGTAAAACCAGCTATTCACAGTCTACCAAATTTTATTTTATTAATTAGCAAGACCCATAAAATAGTTGAGTTTTTTTCACTTATCATTGGTTGGACAGACATTTAGAAAAAGGTATCCGATTTCTCAAAGAAAATATAAATCAAAGTTATCAATGGGTGAGGAGACACGCTTTAAAAGCATATGATATGAATTCAAAAATATCATGGTTTTATAAAATTTGTGCTAATTGAATGCCCACAGAATATATTTTTTGAAAATGCAGTTGGCTTGTCTAACTTCAATTACTGGCAATAGTTAATTCTTTTTTAAAAGCATTATCTGAAGCCACTATTTTAAAGGCGATATCTAAAGCCCCTATTTTAAAAATGATATCTAAAGCATCTATATTAAAAGCAATATTAGAAGCCCCGATTTTAAATGTGATATCTAAAGCTCGTATTTAAAAGGCGATATCTGAAGTCTCTGTTTTCAAGGCAATATTCGAAGCCCCGACTATTTTTAGTGCATTTAAAAACTTATTTTAGCGCATTACAACTTGAAAAACTTGCTACTCTCAATAGATAAGAAAGATATAAATTTATTAAAAATGCACTTGTAAGACCTTCTAAAAATTTTTTATAGGACATTTGGATTATTCTATTCTCTGCTAAAAAATGAATAAAAAAATAAAAAAACATTTTTCCTGTATCTAAAGTTAAAATTGATCTTTTTGGTGTTCAAGTCAAACATGTAAAAGGAAAATGTTTCTAAATATGTTTCTAAATATGTTTCTAAATATGTTTCCAATTAAAAGCTTTTCCTATAGAACATAGAGTATAAAAAAAATTGTGTTAGAAATTTTGGATTATAAACTACACGGCTAATCAGCAAATCAAGATATTCAAAGGTATTGAAACCATTGATATCAAACAAAATTAAACACCAATGAACTCTACATGCTTATCAGGTCCATCATCTAATATTAGAGGCTCAAAACATAGAAACCTGAATTAATCATAAATTGTATAAAAATGCAATATTTTTTTAACAACAGGGTTGTTGATGGATATAATAGTCTACCAGCAGAAGTCATTCATTATTATTATCATCATTATTATCATTATTGTTATTGTTATTATTATTATTAGTAGTAGTTTGGATTTTTTTATGATGCAATTTGAAGTTTAAGATTCTCTGTAGGGAGAGAAAACCTTTAAAAAAAGTAACCTCTGGCAAAAGTTTTATCTCCGAAAAAAAAGGTTGCCTATTGAAATTAACGATTTACAAAAGGTAACCTCTATAAATTTTTTGCATCTAATAGAGCATCTAATTTTGCATATAATTTTTTAAAATATGTAACATAAATGCAAATCATCAAGATTTGCATTTATGTTACATATTTTAAAAAATATGTAACATAAATGCATAAAATTTTTTAACAAGAAAACCTCGTATCACAAGATTCTTTTATTATATTTAATTTGCTTAAAATAAATTAAAGATTGCGATAAGGCGTCGTCCACAAATTAGGTGGCGCAATTTTTGACCGTTTTAGACCCCTTTCTCCCTCCTCCCCTCCCAACCTTTTCACAATGTTGTAACTCTTTAGTAGCAAGAATAAGTCGTCACAAAAACATTACTCCTTCCCCTCCCCTTAAGCGTGGCTTAATTTATGGATGACCCCTAACCGATTTTTATATAAAATAAATTTAAATACAAATATTTGAAATCTATAAACAACCCATTTTTATGTCAAATAAATTTCAATTTAATACAAACATTTATTGTTTTTTGAAATTCAATCGAATTGCTTTCAGCGAGTTTTTCATTTAACCAATATAAAGTTAAGTATAAAATTTACATATAAAAAATTCCTTGATAATTAATGGAGTATGAACTTAAAAAACGGATTTAATGGAGTATGAATTTAAAAACGCATTTAACTCAATCTAAAAGTTTTATCTGAATCGGAATATATTGTGGAGTATTTATGTAATAATGTATTGTGGAGTATTTATGTAATAATATATTGTGGAGTATTTATGTAATAATGTATTGTGGAGTTTTTATGTAATAGCTTTTGTAAAACCTCTTCAGAAGAGTTCCACAAATTAAAGTTCTATCAATTCTAAACATTATTTTTCGCGTATGTTTTTGTTTATTTTATAGTTTCTTTTTAATTTTATATAATAAGTACTTCACTAAATCTTTTTATAGTATGTTAAGTAATTATATATAGAAGTTAAATCAACTTTTTTTAATTTTTGGCAGTAGTTAAATATTATCTATCTATTGTATTAAATTAAGAACAATTATAATGTTTTGTCGATAATAAATGTTTTCATTACTACTCATAAAAACTTGATTGAATATTTTCCTCAAAGGAAACTTATAAAATGTCAACTGATTTCAAAGTCTATAATTAAGTTATTGAAGAATAATGCTTTATGATTTATTTACTTAATAAAAGTATTGTTTTAACCATGTTAAATAAAATAGAGTGATATTGAAATTAACAACAAATGTAAATTAATAGCTACGTTCATAAAGTTTGATAAATTCATTTCGACGTTGTTTTCTAAGCTATTAAACTCCTATGAATTTAAGTATCTGTCACAATATTTACGTTTCAGTTTGATAATAGTCACGATGTTTATTTTTCAATTTAAGATTAAAAAACAAATAAAATGATTAAAATTGAAAAATTAAGATGAAAAGTTATACAAATTTATTTTTATTATAAAATAACTTTAAAAACGTTTTGATAAAAAAAGTGTATTATTTGTTTTATATATTTGCTAACGTTTTTAGATTTTAATCAAAGCTCCAAAAGGTTTGTTCTAAGTTTTTATGAATGTACAGAATAATAAATTATTATTTAAGAAAACTATTAATTAATTATATGTTGTTTATTAAAACATGTATATGCTAACTTTAAAAATTAGGAACGATTTTTCAAATAACAAAAGTATTAATTAAGTTTAAGGTGGTAAAAAAAATTTCAAAATCCTAAGAAAGCTTTCCGACTAATATAAACTTTGGACTATTAATAAGTTTCGGACTAATTTCTCTCATATTTTGAAATGATTTTTTATTAATTTTTTTTTTAATTTCTAGAAATTAAAATTTTTTTTAATTTATTTTACTTGAAAACTTTCTTAACATAATATTCATATTTTGACTATATTGCTAAAAAACAGAGCCGACGACTCGGGGGGAGGGGCAGGGCGAAGGGCACTGCCCTCTTTCCTTCCCTCCCCCCTCCACCCCACACACACACACTTTTATTCTAAAGGATTATTTTTTTAAATAAATTTCTAGATATAGAGCACTTTTATTAGAAATAAACTATTGTGCCCCTCGGCTTTGAAACCCGTGTCGTTGGCCCTGAAAAATAAATAAATAAGGCATATTAAAAATCAGACTTAAAGTTGAAACATAGAGGATAATCTTTTACATTATTTAATGTAGGTGATTAACGATGAAAATACAAAAATATAGGAAATTTAATATAAAAAATAAAACACAAAAATGTTTTTTATTACTACAACAGACAAAACTCGAAGGAATTTTTTTATAATTTATTAAACTTTTAATTTTGTTAAAGAATTTTTTTAAGCAAAAGTATCATTCAAACCACATTCAAAATTACACTATTCAAACGACATTCAATATTATTCCATTCAAACAGCATTCACAATTAATTTGAAAAGTATAGAATAATATATTATTATTTAATAAAACGTAAATTTAAAAATAAAACGTCAGTTTTATCGGAGATGGAGGAATTTTTTCTTTTGTTGGAAAGAAATTTAATTGATAATTAAATTAAAAGCTTTAAATTATAAAATTAAGAACAATTAGTTACAATAATAATGATAACAATAATAACAAAAGTTATTTTTATCGTTTGTTGAAACCAAAATCGAGATCTCTCTTGCCTCATGAACTATGCAAGGTTTTTTTTAAAGTTCTTTTTTGCATTACAATTAGATTTTCTGTCCAAATTTTTAATAAGCAGCAATGACGCTTGTTTTCTCAAGAACATTAAAATGATTAAAACTGTTCGACACTTACAGATATTGTCTTTGTAAATAAATTTGTTTATGTTTTCAGATGTATGAAATTTTTTAATGTTTTTATAGAAAGAGTTTACCTAGGCGAATTACTTTTACTCGTGTTACAACACAGTTAAACTGAGTTGTTTAGATAAAGTATTAAATCATTTTTTGAACATTTTTTAAATACTTTTACTTCATTATTTTATGTCGTTAGTTTTTTTGTCGCTTCTTTATTTCATTTTGTTACGTGGTATACGCAGTATTGTATTATTATATACTAAAAAAGACTAGTTACCGCGATTGATATTATCATTAATTGAAAAAAAAAATGTTACAAATTACAGACAATGTTTTCCTTTAATTTAAACAAATATGTTGTCAAATAATACCATATTAAGTGTTATAGGGCGTGCTTTATGAGAGGATATAACTTAGACAAATTTAGTCAAGTTTTTATTTATAAATATATTCTGCTTTTAAAAGATAAATTCGTTAATACTAAGACAAAAAATATTGCAATTTTTAGAAGATATTATTATACTTTTTATTAGTAAATTGTATTTGATTATAACATGTATTAACTGGGTTACTTTTGTTTTATAAGTATATGAAACTAAACATAGCGAAAATATACATCACACTTTCTAGTTCTGACTTTTATTTGAAATTTATCGCACATTTATTAACATAACGTTCTTTTTGCTTTAATTAATAATTACACTTTAATGTTTTTGGAGAGGAAATAATGATTTAAACGAAAATATGCAAGAAACAGTTTTATCAAGATTGTCAACAAAATCAAAAATTTAGATACGCTTGACTAAATACTCGTGAGAATGTTGATTTGCGCTTGGAGATTGAAAGTCATTTTGAAATTCATTTTTTTAAAATGTTTTCCCCGTCATAACGAATGAAATAATTCTCCTTGATACGCCAGTAATATTTTACATATTTTAGTGACTTTTCAAAACGTTATTGTTTTAGAAAACAAACATGGATTTGTTTGGAAATTTTGAGTCTGAAAAATGGTCAAATGGAGTTCCTCCGTCAAACTTGCAAACTTCAGGTATATCTATGCCATTTAGTTAATAGGCGCTCAGTAACATTGGTATAACATTTAATGTTAACCTCGTGAACGTAATCTTATTTTTGTCAGTCGAGTTTGTTATAGTAATGTTATACTTTTGTAGGTTCGTAGTATGATTTTTTATGCTCATTGTAAACTAATAAAAAACATTTTCAAAATTTATAATGATTATTCAGAATTAAATGCTAAAGCATTCGGACTACTTTGTGACCACTCTAGCCCATTTGTGAGGGCAAAAGAATTTTGAAAGTAAAAAATGTATATAACTAAGCTAGATCAAAAACTCTATTGACAGATTTTAAATTTTATTAAAAAATAGTTTGACATTTAAAAGTTATAGCGAAAAAATAAGAAAAAATAAGAAGAAGAAGAAAAAATGATAGGACGAAATAAAAAAAGTGAAATAGCAATTAAGATAAATAAAAATAGCTTTAACTTAGACATACATACATGGGTTTAGCATTCATATAATTCTTGTACATTTAGGTAACTTGCAGAAATGAACTTGACTAGCAAAAACACAGATTTCCTTATTTAAAAACAGAAAGACTTCTCTTGTTACGCTTAGGTTTGATTAAAGTATGACCAACACTTATATAGCGAACACTATTTTTTTTACAACTTTATTCTTTTTTATTTTTCCAGGTTACGAAAAGCATACAGTCTATCGAGTGACTAAAAAACCTGAATTTTTTGAGTATTATATGGCAAACAGTAATGGGGATCCATGCTGCACGTTTTTGTATGGAGCATTGAGAGATCCATTGCTTTCAATAACTAATTGCTACTTGAAAATAAAAAAGATAAATGGTTGCCATGTTATTACAGGAATGATTGTTGATGATGATTGTGTTGAAATAAACAATGACTTTCTTATAACTATAAATCCTCCTGCTTCCGAAGAAAAATTTCAAAGAAAAGAAAGCATTAGTACATTTCTTTTTTTTTTCTTTTTTATTAGTTGAGTTATTTAAAATCTAATAACTTGCTCAAATACTATATTTGTTTTCTAAATGTATTTTAGGTCTTGGATTAATTAGTGACTTAGAAGTGGATCAATGGACCGAAAAGGAAGAACCTCCATGGAATAAATCAAAAATTGGTAACTAAGTTATTTATTTTATTATAAACGAATTTTTTTTTTTAACATTTGATTTAATTCACTATCTAATAATTTTCTTTTAAATATACTTTTGTCTAAAGTTGTTTTAATTAGAGCAATTGCAAAATATAGAACTTTATTAAACTGCATCTAAAATAATATAGGTGCAACAGGCGACATTCTCTCAAAGACGATACTCCTTCGGGAGTATTGTTATTTTACGAGTTTACGACCAAAAAGAAACTAACTTTTTTAACTTCTAGAATTAAATATCAATTTTTTTTTTTTCTTTTAGATAATTGACTTTAAACGTATTTTATATTCTTTTTTAAGGATACAGTTACTACAGTATTCGAAGAAATAAACCTGAGGTGATTAATGGCGTGTTGAAATATCATCTGGCATCTGACCAAGGACTTTCTATAAATGCTTTTTTAAAAGGGGCGAGAAGAGATCCTTTGCGATCGATTGGAAATGTATATTTGAAAATAGATAACTTTGACGAGATAATAGGCATAATAGTTGAAAATGACTGGGTAGAAAAAAATCAATAATTCAAATTTAATAAAGTATATGTAAATCAAGGCATGTCAAATTTGGGAAATCAAGACTTAATTTTCATTTATATTTAACTGTGTTATAACAATACTTTATACACTAATGTACACTGTTGTTATACACTAAGGAAAGTTTTTTATTAATTTCTAAACTGAAAATTTAAAAACCATGTACATAAATTTTTTGTTGTTTTCCTTCCCTTTTCCTGTAGGGTATTTATAAACAATAGTGTAAATGAAGTGACCACTTTTTCAAAAAATTTAAAAGTTAAAAAATGAGTTCTTTATAAAAATATTATAATTCAAGCTTTAATTTAAACGCTCATTGCTATATGTAATTCCTTTATATAACCTAACGTGTTTGGAAGTTTTTTTGTGTTGAAATTTTTAACAACCCAAAAAAGAGAAAAAGTTATTAATGGTTTTAAATATTAAAAAAAAAAAGTACTCAAAGCCTGCACGCTATTATTGATACTTTCTTGGGTCTGGTGCTATAAAACATAACATTTATGTATGTTAAGATTTTTCTAAATCATTTAGGCCTAATCTTACATCTTTTTACATTTTACATTACATCATACGTATTAAGATAAGACTCTAGTGTTGCTATTTTAACTGACATCTTTTATTTATTTAAAAATTTATAGTCAATGTCGTTTGAGCATGGAATAGCACACGCAAAACTAAAAATGTTAGATAAAAACTATTTAACATTTTAGAGTCATTTTTGAATGTTGCTTTTCATTAAATACCAGTGAAAAATTGACATAGATTGTTTCAATTTTTAAAAAAATATATCGATTAGCTCAAGCTCATAATAGTAAATATAATATTAACGAAAATATTTAAAGATGTTTTTTTTATTTTTTTGTACTGCAAGGAGGTAATGATGTGCCGAAAATAAAAAACGTTGAAATTAGTAAACGATCAGTTTTATGTGAATAAAGATTATAGCAAAAGAAATGTAAAAGTAAAGAGTGAGCATCATAAGAACAACATAAAGAAAAGAGTGCTGAAGGTAAATACATTAAGGTTGTCTACAATAAAATTACAACGCACGATCTTTAGGAAGTTTTTTTACTTAATGAAGAGTTAAGTATCAAAATTATTTTAGTGAAGCTTAACAAAGTAAGATCCAAACAAATATAAAAAGTTTGAAATAGATTTTGAAAATCTTCGACTATTTTTAGCGTAATATGCTGACAAAAACAGCACTGATGACTCATAATAGATTTATTTGCTGATATATACATATATATATATATATATTTATGTATATATATATATATATATATATATATATATATATATATATATATATATGTATATATATAAATATATGTATATATATATATATATATATATATATATATATATATATATATATATATATATATATATATATATATATATATATATATATATATATATATATACATATACATATAATAAATATTTTTATTTAAATTTAAAGTTAGGTTGAAAAACAATAAACACGGAGGTAACTATTATTTATTATTATTATTATTTACGTTAAAGAAATTTACAACGTGGTATTAGGCATGTAATGAGTATTTATGACGTCAATTAGAGGCTTATTCAATTGAAATTTTAAGCCCACCTTCTGACAAAATTAAAAACATTTTTTTTTTACATGATGACGTTTTATATGAAAGCAACTACGAAAAGAAAATAATCTACTTAGTAGGTGGTTTGAACTTAAATTGCTTTGAGTATCACGTCAAAAAAAATTTTATATAATAGCTTATTTAAAAATGGAGCAATTCTTCTTATAAACAAATAGACTAGAACTACGCAATCATCAACTTCTTTAATTGATAACATTATAACCACCAATAATTTTATCGCTTCAATATTTTTTGATATTTTATTTTATGAAAGGCATTATAAAAAGTGATTTATTCGATCTTTTTTCTATTTTCTTTTTTATTGATGCAAAATTTGTATGTAATTAAAAACTGTAATCTAAAAAACAACTTTTTTTAAAATGAAAAGAAATCTGATTAGATTAACTTAATTTATTTGTCTGAACATAAAGTTATATATAAAATTCGTTAATTGAAAAAAATTTATATTAATTTTATGCCAAAAGGAATTTATCAGACTCCCTTAAACAGACCCGATTTAGAAATTAATAGTATGTCAATGCTATTGACCATATGAACTATATCCAGACCATCTTACAAAACCAATAACACGCATATAATTAGTTAATGCCATTTTCGACGAAATAACAATCAACTGCAGACTTAAAATCTTTAATTGTTTTAACATTTATCGCACTCTGAGGTAGGTTATTCCACATTTTAACAACTCTATGTGTAAAGAAATTTGGTCGCTATGGAAATCCAGGCGCTAAAATACACATTAATCTTTCTCTATTGCCTCGGGTGTGACCCGATGGACCTTCGATTCTAAGTGAAAAAACTGGTAATGGTTCATTTTGCAAAGTGATGAAATCAAAAGCACGGATAAACTTAAAATATTGAATGAGATCAGCTCTTGTTCTTCTTAATTCAAGTATTGTTAAAGTAGTCTCTTGAGTCTTACATTGTATGGTAAGTGTGCTATTTTAGATATAACTTTTTGCTCTTTTTTGAATGTGCTCAAGAGTTCTTATGTCCTTTTTTAAATAGGGTGATCAAGCTTGTGTAGCAAACTCAATGTGTGGGCGGACGTAGATAGTATAAAGAGACTTCCAGAGAGATAACCCTCTACTTTTGAATGTTTTTTTTTAGGGTACCAAGTACATGATTTGCTTTAGCCGCAGCTGCTTCGACTTGATTTTTTTGTTTAAGGTTATCCGAAATCAAAACTCCAAGATCTCTCTGTAAAGAGGTTAATTCAACTTCTTGTTGTTGTCCGTAGTCACTGTATCCTGATTTAAAATATTTTGCGTTAGATTTTGTTTTACTACAGTTAAATTGCATGACTTTGCATTTTTTTAAATTTCATTTTAGATGCCTTTTTTTACACCATAGGACTGTATTATTGATATCTTTTTGTTGTAGATTAGCATCCTCTGGCGTCTTAATAACTCCGATTATCTTACTATTCTCAGTTTTATAGAATGGTGTATGTGGCTAGGTAAATGATTGGCATAGAGAACAAATAAAAGAAGGCCTAGTACAGAACCTTGAGGTACACCGCTAGCAACGTCTTTCCATTCAGATATAGAATGACCTAATACTACTCTTTGTTTTCTGTTTCTGAGCCACGCTTTAATCCATGCAATCAATAGACTCTGTATGCCATATGCTCTTATTTTATGAATGAGTCGGCGATGGGGCACTTTATCAAACGCTTTCTCTAAGTCAGTGTACACTATGTCAACTCGATAATTGTTTTGTATCACTTTTGTAACAATGTTCAAAGATCCAAGTAAATTAGTAACAGATCTTTTTTTTAAGATGAAACCGTGTTTAGATATCGAGATAATATTGTATATTGCATATCTTATTATTAACAATAGTAGTTATATTATTTGTGTCTTTTAGAACACAAATTAATTGTCGATCTGCATGTTTGTTTCAGATGTATGAATGAAATACTTTTACATTTAATTTGGCTTTTTCAACTAACTGCTCCTCGTAGTTTTGAATTTCTTTTTTACAACGTCTTTAAAGCTTTTACAAGTAATTTTATATTCAGCTTTAATAATATTTTTATGTGCATTCTTCTCAGCAGAAATATATTTAGCCCATAATTCACGTTTGTTTCTCAGCATATTTTTTACTTCCGGGGTAATCCATGAATCCTTTTTTTCACAGTACTTCATCGATTTTTGTGGAATGAATTTGTTGCATGCTTTTTCATATTCGATAATTAGTAAATTGTAACATGCATTGACTGATTGATCTTTGAATAATTCAACCCAATTTATTGTACTTATGTGCTTATTTATTTCTGCATAATTTCCCCTTCTCCATATATAACAACTCCTCGAAATTTGAGACTTAACAACGTTATTTTTTATAGTAACGCTATATTCAAATATAAAATGGGCTCGTATTTGAAGAGTACTGCCAAGTGGTGCGTTACACGTTATATCTGAGAAACGGTAAGGGGTGTTAGTGATAATAAGATCCAGTGTGTTGACTGGCTTTTTGTCTCCATTATGTTGATTCGTAGGAAAATTCAAAATCTGGGTAAGATGATTCTCCTTAAGACAATCAATTGTCTTGAGGAGAATCGTACTGATATTTTTAACAATTGAATTTCTGTTCGAAGTTTAACTATTACAAAAAAAATGCTATTAAAACCTGCCACTGTTGCTTTATCACTATAACCTTGTTCGTTCTTAATTTCTTAAAAAAAAATTTATTTATTTTTTAAAAAATTAAAAAAAATTATTTTTTTTTTAAGAAATTAAAAAAAAATTAAATTTTTTTTAATTTCTTATTTTTACCAACCACTATTGCATTACTCAATTTTTTTAAAGGTGCACAATTGATTTGGAAGCAAAGAAAGAAAATAGGAGCTCTTTCATTTAACAAAAAACAAGAAGTTAAATAGTAAAAAAATGGATTTAAATTTTACAAAACACTTCCTAAATTATATATTTACGTTAGAATTTATTCAAAGTATAGCTCGTGGGAAAATAAAAATCAAAATGGACATCAACAGGTACATTTTTTTAAGATGTACCTGTTGATGTCCATTTAATAATAGTTTTTTTAAGATATTTTTAATAATAGTAAGTGATATTTTTTTAAAAATACTTTTTAAATTTACCCATCATGCAATTTGATTATAAATATTTATTTAGAGGACAAAAGGTTTATGTTTTCAGGCATTTGACATTCATTTAATGTGCCTGGTAGCTTCTGATGCCGTTCACGAGTCGATCACTATTCTTATTTGCAAGGTGAAAGGCATACGCCTCTTAAGGTATGATTAAAATGAGCAACAAAAAGATTAAAACCAATGTAATTGCAAAAGCGCTGTTGTCAAATGTTACATTAATACATATATTAACTCTAGAAATAGTTATTTCGAATAAAATTGAACCACCTATTGAACTCCTTCTATTTATTGATGGTGTTTAAGTGAATAAACCATTTTCAAAAACTGATACTTCAATAGCATATTGAGTTTTTTCTAAGGTTTTGAGATAATGTTCTAAGGTTTTGAGATAATGTTCTAATGTTTTGAGATAATGTTCTAAGGTTTTGAGATAATGTTTTAAGATTTTGAGATAATGTTCTAAGGTTTTGAGATAATGTTCTAAGGTTTTGAGATAATGTTTTAAGATTTTAAGATAATGTTTTGAGATTTTTGATATAAAGAGCTTTAAAGGAGATTTCAATAAAAAAAATTCTTTTTAATAAGAAATTAAGATTTTATTGAAAAATGTATGAGATTATAAAAAAAACTTTCCTGGGGTGTTTTTTCATAATAGTAAAAAGTTTTTAGCAAGCATGTTAAAAGCTCTACTTTTTCATTACATGTATTCATATGTATGGAATAAACATTCAGAACTTTGAAAATTTGAAAAAAGTCTAAGTACTTCAACTAGCATCATTTACAAAAAAAACTATCAAAAGAAAGAGAACAAAGAAATTATCCCTCCAACTTCATCCTCCCTGTATTTTTAAAAGTTTTGGGGAGAATTTTGTATTATAGAAATACCATTTTATACCGACATTTAATTTTAGAAAAAAACTTTATTATATCGATACATTTTTTTAATTGGATTTCAAAGTGCTCGACAAAAACGTAACGGTCTTTTCACAGAGCACTGCAGAATAGCATTTAACTAGGAAAATCACACCTCATTCTTTACCAATGCATATATATAATATATCACAACAAATATTAAACATATATAATATATAATAACAAATATTAAACATTACAATAACAAATAAGAAATATTTTATAAAATATATCATTAAAATAGCAACACAGAGGCGATTGTACCAAATAAAATGAATCCTCAAAAAGTATCGACTGGCTTGTAAAAAAAAAAAAAAAAGAAAATCAAAACGAAAATTTAACCGACTGAAGTGTGTCAAATATTGTGGCCGTGGCGCTGTAGTTAGAGCGCTTGCTTTATAAGCAGGAGATCCAGGATCAAAAGGAGCTTTGGACATATTTTGCGTCGCGGTAAGGAAAGAGGCGTGAACTTCCTGGTTAAATGCACTACACTCTCGCGGAAAGTGTGGAGTTTTCCTCCACACCGGTGTGTAGCTATTACTCCTAGACACAAGTGTGGAGTTATTTTGCACACTTTTGTGGAAATTAACTTTTTCTAACTCAGAAGTGTGAATTGTGAAAAATAACTCCACATGTATGTCAAGGAGTGATGGCTACACACCAGTGTGGAGAAAAACTTCACACTTTCCGCGAGTGTGTACTGCGGTGCTCTGTGACAAGACCGTTAGGTCTTCTTGGGGCACCTAAATAACAAACTTAAAAAAATAACCGACTAGCCGACTAAATTTGTAAAAAAACCGACAACAACTTGAAAATCACTTACTTCAGTGGAGAGGGCAGTATACTGCCCTCTGCCAGTGTAATATATTACACTCCCCCTCCCCTCTCACATACCCCGTATCATCGCCTCTGTAGCAACATTAAAATAATTTACGATGGTTTATCCTGAGGTGGACCTATACCACTTATTAACAAACCAACTAGAGTAACCTTAATTCACAACATAACAACAACAGATATTTTTTATATCTTAAAATCGGTAAAATTAAAAATCCTCAATTTTTTCTCCATTTACGTAGAGAAAAAAATTATAATAAAACAACAAAAAGTCTTTTACAAGCGCTCTTTCACTGATAAAAATATGGCATCGTTTAAGGATCAGCTCTCTCTAATAAATTGGAAGCGTATAAAAAGTTTATTCGAAACAAATATAATGGCAGGTTCTTTTAAACCTTTTATGAAAAAAACAATGTAAATTTTCCGATATATGTTTAAAGTCACCTAGGGTCAATAGGTATCTTAAGAAATCCTTAGAAACAAAGCAAAAACTGTAAATAAAATACTTAAAAAAACCAACACCTGAAATCAAAATAGTTCATATGAATTACACTAAACAATTTGAAAGCCTAAGTAAAAAGGCAAAAAAAAACATATTACTGCGATTTACTAGAAAAGCATAAATCTTGTTCGAAGCGTACATGGTAAATTATGTCAAAATTACTGGTAAAAACAAATTAAAAACGCGCTCTAAACCTAACACCATGAAAATAGATGACGTATTTTTATTTTACCTAAAAAAATAGCAAGCGAGTTAAATAAGTTCTCTGTATCTGTTCGACCAAATTTAGCTAAAAATATTCCTAATATGATAAATCCAATAAATTATTGCGCTTTTTCATTAATTTCTAAATTAGATAAAATTGAAGTAACTTTTTCAGAACTTGAAAATGCATTTAAGATGCTAAAAACTAACAAAGCTGTTGGTCCTGATTATATAAATTGTAACAGAGTTATAGATTCATAAGAAAATAAAAAGCAACTTTTATTTTTGTAAAGTTTTCAAAGGTTCAATAAACCAAGGAATTTTTTCAGACCAATTAAAAATTGGAAAGATTACACCCGTATTTAAAGGTAGTGAACCATCAAATGTCAGTGGTTATCGTCCAATATTTATCTTTTCTGTTTTTTCAAAAATTTTTGAGTGAGTTTTGTTTAACCAACTATACAACCCTCTAACTATTAATAATATACTTTACATGAGCCAATACGCCTTCAAGACAAACAACTTTACGGAACATGCAATAATTCATCTCACTCGAAGTATAACTTAATCATTCAAAAAATCATTCGTTTACTCGTGATATGCTTCTTCTATATATTGATAATATTCAAATAACTAATTTTCCAAAAGTTAGTGTGTATGTGTGTATGTGTAATGCCTATATGTATGTGTGAGTATATTTATGTGTATATTTAAGCATGTTTGAATTTATGTATGCATGTACGTAAGTAGGTATGTATGTATTTATGTAAGTATGTATGTACGTTTGTATGTATGTATGTATGTATGTATGTATGTATGTATGTATGTATGTATGTATGTATGTATGTATGTATGTATGTATGTATGTATGTATGTATGTATGTATGTATGTATGTGTGTGTACGTGTATTTGTGTGTATGTGTATGTGTGTGTGTATTTGTATGTGTATTTGCATATTCATGAGCCTTTATACCAGAAGAGTAGTATTGTGCAGATGTATTAAAGAACAGTTAATTTTATTACAGACGAAGAAAGAACAGGAGATTACATTATAAGTATTTGCTAAAAAAAATCGATATATATTCAATTACAATAAAGATCAATACTTTAAAACAAAAAAAGTATTATCCTAATTATTTATACTTTATTCTTGACCTTGTACATATGCTTTAAAAAAACATGCATCTTATGGAGAAATTAGTAGTAGATATAGAAAATGAAGTAGAAAAACTCAATTGAAATTTATAAATTTCAAAGCATTTTTTCCGATTTTATATTGCTCTTTCCTTTTTTTGCAGAACACTCTTGAGTAAAAATTGATATTTTGTAACGGGCATCTAAAATACTTAAATGGACCTAGGCTCCCTCAACTTAACCCGTTTCCTATTTATGTCCTTTAGGATTTTTTTTTCTCACATTTTATATTTTTGACTTTATCAGTTACTTTATTCTATATGGTGTACAAAACTTATTCTTCTTTATAATTATTATATTATACGGAATTTTCTTGGGGTTTGGCAATTTGACATTCTCAGTCCTTGCTATCAGTATATACTGATAATATTTTACAAAATGCATATATTTACACAGCAAAAAAAAGGAAAGATTCATAAGTAATTAATAATCAATACAAAAACCCACCATAAATAAAATCAAACATTAAACAAGAATATCAAACAATAGTAAAGTACTCTGACAAATTGGTAGTAACTCTTACGTGCTTATCTTTAAGTTAGGGCCTGTGAAATCAAATTTGTCCAACACGTGCTAACACGGTAATGATAATGATGATGATAATAAAAAAAACTTATGATGACAAAACACACACCAATTATAAGTTGAAACAAGTGTATTTAGGCGTGATCGAATAATTCCATTCAAAAAAATGGAGCTTTAGTCTGAAATTTAGTCACACCTTTTTTAAATGAAGAAATGTTAAAAAATTTCATTTAAAAACGTTTGAATAAAGCCAATATTGAAATAAAATATTTACGTATAATATATGCGTATATGATATATTTAAAAACTTTTATTTACATTAACAATAGTTAAAAAGAAATTTTTGACTAACGCTCCGCTAAGTCGTGCGGAGAGTTAAGAAGACGACCACGGATTTGCTCATCTAGGAATATTAATAAACATAAATTTTGTTGTGTCGAAAAATTTATTACTTTTCCTCACCAACCCTTTAAGCTTGGCTTCCAATGCTTGTAGAAACTTTGTACAAAGGCTGTGTGTGTTTTTTTTTTTTGTACAACAATTGTTGCCTTAATTGATTAAATTCTATTTCAAGCTTTGTTTTGCGACGCAAACTTTGTCGTAAACCGACGTTAAGTTGTTCAACTTACGCAAGTAAATGTTTTCATTATGAATATGTTTCCATTATTTCTGTACAACTGTTGCACGACATTTCTATAACTATTGGAAACCAAGCTTTAGACTCGGTATAACTGTTGGTAGCCAAGCTTCAGACTCGGTTTACATTTGTTGCAGAAATGCCGTACAACAGTTGCAGAACAGTTTTGTTTTAAAATGAAACATTTTCTTGCGTAAGTCACACAACTTTTGATGTGTTGTGATGTAATTTACACAACTTTTGTTGTATAACAAAATTTTTTTTGTTAAACAATTGTTGCAGAAATAAAAACAATTCAGTTTCTTGTGGTAGAACAAAGTCGTACATCTGTTTTATGCTTCTTCAACAGTAGGACACCAACCTTTTACGCAACTATGTTTTCTTAAAGAACCTTAAAGCAGTTGAGTCTGTTGCACAGCTTATAAAATATAATTTGATTCACTGCAAAATTAACTCTTAATTCACAGGCGCAACATTTAAGGCTTAAATTAGGAAATCCTAGGGTTTGTAGCGTCGTAAGACTTTTTTAATGTTTTTAGCGCCAAAGAAGTTATAACACCGAAGTAGGAAGAGCCTAATTAATTTCCAGTCATATGTGACGAAAAATGAATTCAAAGTTTATATTTGGAAAGTTTTATTAGTACATAATTGGAATACATTTGTTAATAATTTGTTTTTTAATCTTTTATAATTGAAAAGGAAAGCGTGTTACGTCATATGAAAAATGCCTCATTTATTCCAGGTTTTTAAAAACCTATAAATTATCCAAAAAAATAATTACATCTATATAATCGATTATACTTGTTTGGCCAGTATTAAAATAACTTCAATTTAAACCTAATTTTCATAATAAAGATGGAGCACGTTTGGATTTTGCTTGTTGCAACGTATATAACGAAGATTGCAGGTGAATATTTTTTTCTCTAGTTTATAGCTTACTCGATGCATTTAAAAGACATTTGAATGCGTTTGACGTTTTTAAACTTCAATTTTTTTTTATAATTTCAATTTATCGAAAAAATCGAAATTTAAAAGCATAATGATCAAGACAAATATCTAAAGTGTTTACAAAGATTGATGCTTGTTTTATCCTAACATTAAATTGTTGTTTAAAGAATTTAATAAGTTAAGTGTTTACTGTCGACGAAAAGCTAAACTAACCTCTTATTAGCTATTTATGCATATTGTTTACCGTTCGGTAAGTCATTTTGTTTTAGATTTAAAAAAATACAGACTAGCGTTATAAACACATTAAATTGTTTCACCGGTTTTTTAACATTTGTCCCGTTGCGTGCTAAGTATTATTTCATCGATAGTTTTTTTTTTTTTGCCAGATACTTGCTATGACAACTGATTTGCTTTATAAATACATATCGCCATCTCGGAATACAAGTGTCGTATCAAAAATTTGTTAAAACTATATATAAATACGTAATTATCTGATTTATGTAAACTTTAAGTTATGCAAATCTAAAAAATTAGTTTTTTTATAACCTTAAATATAACGTCATACAAAAAGATTTTTTTATTAATATAATGTTTAACTTACATAAATTAGATAAATACATTTATATATACAACCTTAATAAATTATTGATACCATACTTGTATTTCGAACATGCGATATGAAGAACTTTATTTTTAAAAATAAATAGATATTAGAAATATTGAAAAAAAAACCCAGCGGAAAAAACATATAATTAAAATTCTATAACTACTAATAATAAATTTAATAATAATTTATATTTTATAAATTTAATTTAAGATAAGAATACCTCAAATTTTATTTTTAAATGTATTAAGTAGAAAAACTATTGTCTCGCTTTTCTTTTTAGTTATCTATGTTTTTATTTATTTAGGAGACACGCAACCATCAGTTACTTTCTCAGAATCTTTGAAAACTACTCCAAGCTGTAAGAAGTTTTTAAAAATAAATCTGTATATATGCGAACTATTAAAAATAAATTTATATATATATGCGAAGCAACATTCATTGAAATTATAAACTAAAGGCCCTGGCTTTTATTTGCAAATTTAAATGAATGTTGTTGATTCTGGAAAATTTGAACACCTCAAAAAACGTTATAAATATTTTGCACTTATATAAAAATATTATTATTGCGTACTTTGAGTTTCAGATTTTTAGTGCTACTTTTATTTTGGTCTTTATAAATACTTTTTAGGAAATAAAAAAATAATAATAAATGAAAATTAATAATAATAATAATAATATAAAAATAATAACAATAACAATAATAAATAGAAATACTACTACTATTATATTACGTCAGGCGAATACAAAAATCAGCCAACAGGAACACCTATTCCAACTCCTAAGTGTAAGCCATTTTTATCTGAACTTTTTTATTTTTTTCATATATTTTTATTTTACTTTACAAATATTACTGTCATGCTTACCTAATTACATAATATTACTATTGTAGTTTAAATAATATAACTATAGAAAATTGATGTATTTAAAACTTAGGTGCAGGATTTGATACTTGCCGAACATTTACTGGGTGGCTAAATGGAACTTTTACCCACCCATTTGATGACCACTCGTTTGTAACATGCATACCAAACGATAGTCCTGATGGTGGTACGTTTACATGTGGAACTTGCTATCCCCCACTTTTCTATTCTGAAAAATGCAGCTCATGCGAGTGGAATAACGATGGTAACTGATATTCTCAAATAGTTGTTATTTTGTGCGTGCAATTTTATTTGAAAAAATTTGGAAAACCTAACAAAGCAAACTTTATGTAACTTGTAAGACTTGAAGCTCGAAAAATATGAAAAAATGAAGAAGAAAAATGAAAATATGAAAAATATTATCTTACTTTTTAGGTTTCTAAAACTAAACTTAACATTTATAGAATGATAAGTAGAATAAAATGAACTCAACTGAAGTATTCTATTTAGTGAGAGTTAAGTTGTTAATTTAAGTTATTGATTGAGAATTAAGTTGTTGATTGTTAAATTAAGTTGTTGAGCTGTATTATATAGATATATATAGAAATCAAATATAAATTTTTTTCCGTTTTTTAAGAAACTTCAATTAATTAAAAAAAAATCATTCTACCTTTACATTTGTGGAGAATAAAGCATACATGTTGATGGGTAATTAAAAGAAATTATTTTAAGAAAAACAACCAATAGTAACAATAAAAAATAAAAACCGGTGTAAAAAAAATACAACCATTAAGAACAACTAAGAGCACAAGATCGTTGTCATAACTACTTCATTATATCCTCTTATTTTTATTTTTCCCTCTGTCTTTCTCATGTTCGAGACATCTTAAATATATTTTTCTTTACTCTCCTTTTTTTTTTTTTTCTTTTTTTTTCTCTGAAATAAAATTGTTTTCCAACAACAATACAAGCTTTTTCAGCAATTTAAAAATTGTTTTTTAACTATTTTTGAAACCCTAAATTTCTACGCCACTGGTTGCAGGCTTTAGTAAACGTAAAAAACTAGAGAAGGCGTGCATTTGGACGTAGAAAATATTTCCAATTTTTTAAACATTTTTTAACGAGAAATTATAAAGTTAAAAAAAGACATAAGCGAGTACATTTTTTAACCAGCATTGCTTATTTTAAACCGCTTATTGCTTTATCAACAGAACTTTGATAACCTGAGCGTTTTGATGTTATTGTTGTATAAAAATATTTTGCTTTGCTGCAATTAATTAGTTGCCCTGCAATATTTTAATTACAATATTTTGTTGCGATGTATTATTTAAAATTCTAATTTACTTAAAAACAATTTTTATTTTTATTCAGATAACTTAAACGATTGTTCTACAACAATAAAACCCGGGCTTGTTCCTACAACCGATTGTAAGTTTGTTTTTTAATTTTCTCATTATTATTTTATTATTGTTACTATTACTTTTATCGCTTTTATATGTATATATATATGTATATATATATATATATATATATATATATATATATATATATATATATATATATATATTCATATATATATATATATATATATATATATATATATATATATATATATATATATATATATATATATATATATATATATATATATATTTATATATATATATATATAAATTCATTCATATATATATATAATATATATATATACATATACATATATATATATATATATATATATATATATATATATATATATATATATATATATATATATATACATATATATATATATATATATATATATACATATATATATATATATATATATATATATATATATATATATATATATATATACATATATATATATATATATATATATATATATATATATTATATATATATATGAATGGCTAACTTCAAAAAGGGGACATGCCCAGCAAAAATTCACATAACATGTCCCCTTTTTCAAGTTAGCGATTCATATATATTAAGAATAGTTAAAAAACGTTTTACTTGTAGATAAAACCAATTTTTGCGATTCTAAACCAAAAAGTCAAAACTACAAAGATCCTGTGAATCCAAGTTATTACTATGCATGCGTTGCCAAAATCACTTACCACATGTGGTGCGGAAGTAATCTATTATACTACAATTCAACCTGTGATGCATGTTTATCAAAACAGTAAAGAAATAAACTTTTAAATACTAACTTTTCCAAGTTGTTTTTTTTATAAATATGTATCACAGTATAAAACTAAAAAGAAAAACAGTTTTCCTAATGCAAAAATAATTGTTGTTTTATTATGGTCATCTAAAAACGTTGTTTGGTTATGTATTCGCCATTTATAACTTTAGAGCTATCAAAGTTACCATGGCTTTTTTTACTTAGTTACTTTTTTATTCAAGAAAATATAACCCTTCTTATACTTTATTTATTAACTCCCTTACACGATAAAAATTTAAGTATTTATATATGATTGACTGCAATCGAATCTTTCTCGCGGCAATTGTTCTCCATTAATAGACGATATTTCGTCTGACTTTTTTTTCCCTTAAATTTTGGAACTCAGAAAACTTTGGTTTTTGCACAAACGTATTTTACAATCTACCGGAACAAATAAGTTCGTGCGCCTTTACTCTAATGTTATAAAAAAACAATGGAATATTGCGTAGTTTTATTTTCTAGCCTTTTAAATTAATTTAAATTGGTTTAATACGTTTTTACTGTTGCGTTATAATAATAACAATAAAAAAAAGATTTTTTAGAGTAGGATATAAATTAAATTTCTTTTTATTCTTATATATTTTCATTTAACCTTTTATAAAACCAGTTTTGTACTCCTATTATTAAAATTGTTTATTAAGTTAATCTGCATGATTTTTTAACTATATAATAATAGGAGGGCCAAGGGCCCTCCTATTATTATTATTTTCAATAAGTTTTGAAATCCCTGCTGCCTAAAAACCCCCGGATTTTTGAAAATGTTGAACTTTTAATTTTCTAATAAATATCTATATGATGGCGTATTTTTTTTAAAGTTGGATCAAATACAACATGTGGGTAAATTTATGACACAGTGTACACATATCGCCGTTTATAAAATATGAAAATATGTCACATATTTCTTGAACTGTGAATAAAGTAAATTTTAGTTTTGTGTTAGAAAAATCGAAAACTTCTAATTGGAAATAAGTAAAGCTATTTTCTTGGAATTTATAGTTTGATCCTCGAGCCAGTTTTATATTCAAGAAACAATAACTATATTCTCATTTTTTTTAACTTGGAAATATGCCCCACGCCCACTAACTATGTAGGTATGGGGCATATTTATTTCGCCCCCGATGTATATAAAAACCATAAAACTGTTCAAAAATGTCAATAACAGAAAAAGTCATAAGAAATTTCAAGTGTTGTGAATTTAGTCCTACAGCTTATTTATTTGAAATTTAGGGCATTAAAAAACAAAATTAGTAAAATAAAAAATCATTAAATGATTTCATCAAAGAAATAAATATAAATAACATTAAATTTAACAAGGACCATAAATAATATAAAATTATTATAAGCAATACACACGTTATAACACAATATGTTATAACGTGTGTATTGCTTATAATAATTTTTCAACAAATGTTGCACTTATTCTATAGTTGATGTGTTTGAAAGGTAAACTAAATGCAATATACTTTGCATTGCTGGAAAGACTTTCGTACTCTTTTTATAAAATACCCACAAGCAGGAATTAATGCAAGAATCCTGCAAATATTTATGGCAGATCTTGATGGCGAAAAATCAATGTAAAAACCAAATATTTTCAGAAAAGGACGTCGAAGAAAGTTGAAGAAAGAGTCATATCAAGTGACCTCTTTGAATCTTTGTTGCCGTACATTAATGACCTAATTAAGAGTTTTGCATCTTCTAACATCGTGTGCAATCCTGTCCGCTTTCTCATTGCTATCTTTCTAACACAACTTCTTCTTTCACTCTAATATATCTTCGTTCTTCCCAAACTCACCTTACTCTCGGTCCGTAAAGCGGATAATGACGCTCACTTAGGAGCTGAACTTGTCTTTGCGGGCCTTGGTAATGTGGTTTCTATATGGCAATTAGCCGGAGGAGGATAAACCACAACACCAAATATTTGCAGAAAACTAGTCTTAAACTTAGGATCTCTGTTAAACTTTAGTATAAAAGATTATACTTCTCAAGCATATAGCTATATAGCCAAATTTTAATTAAATTTTTGAAACTTCGAAACCATTACAACAGTCTCACACACCAGTTTTTTTTTTCGAAACATCGAGAAAAAAACGGGTGTGTTTTTGAAACTGTACTTCATTATTTTAGATTTTTAATCTCTCATTTATAGAATCGAAACTTGCAAAAAATACTTTCAAACCAAGTGATGAGACTAATGTTTCAAATTAAAACCCTGTTTCAAGTGATGAGACTAATGTTTCAAATTAAAAACCTGTTTCAAGTGATGAAATGTTTCAAATAAAAAAACTTCAGTTTTACTCAGCTTTCTAAAACTAATTGAACACTTTGTGTTTTACACATTTTATAAATATCAAATGAAAACAATATATTGTATTGTAACCAATTTGAAAACTATCACTGGTTACAGTAGTAGGTAAATATATTTTCTGAACTAATATTTTTACAAAAAGGTATCAGTGTCCGACTATAAAATTTGTGAAGAAATTTCGCCTCTGTTATACAACCCTTTACAAGTTATTGTTAAATATTTACTGCATAGCATGATTACGAGTTCCACAAGCTGGTCCATTTCACAATGAGGAGGAAAGCAACTTTGTTGAGTGATGCCAATTAATGACATCAATCTGACCTATTGATTTAAACTGCTGTATTATTATCACTTCTCATCTTTTTTTAAATTAAAGCGGTAAATCCAAGTGCTTTAAGTCTATCTTTGTATGTATATTTTGATATTGAAAAAATTAATCTTGTAAAACAGGTTTTTGAACGTGATTAGAACTTGATACGGTGACCATGATTAAACTGGAAATTCTAAATGGGGTCTAATGTATGTTGTGTATTGCAACTTCCCCAGATTTAAACCTCAATATTGAAATGCTTTTTTGAAAATTTAGTACTTTATTCAAAGCAGCAAAATTCACTTGTGCTTAACTTTAAAGTCAACCAAGATGAGTATACTTAATTCTCGTTCAGTATGGATAACAGCAACTTGTGTGTCATTATCGTTGTACATATAGTACTTTTAATACAATGTAGTTGGTTCTGGCCCGATAAGCATAACCTTATATTTAGATATATTAAATTTTATGAGCCAAGTTTTTGACCATTCAACAGCTTTAAAGGATGCGGTCTTTAAATTCGGAACGATGAAAAATTCAAAAAAGTATTAAATAAATAATTAAACTAATGCTAAAATTTCAATATTTATTTTAATCTAAGGAACTTGAAGGTTATAAAATCGCTTTTATTTTAATACCTTTCATTATTTCAAATAAATAAGCTAATTGACGACATGAACCTCTGCACAGTGTCTTTGGCAATTTTTTTTTCCTACTAATGTCCACTCTTTAATAAAATCTTTAGCTGTACTTATTGTTTGCCACTCTCACGCAAATACCCTTTATGATTCCTAAAAATTTATCAATGTTAGGAAGTGTGGCCAGTTAGGAGGGTTCATGTTTTTTGGTATCTCTCAAATTGTACCACTCTACGGCATACTTAGAAAACTACAAGTAGATCAGACCAGAACCAACAGGGGACATTGTGACTTCGATAAAATGGCAAAAGTCTAGCTTGAAAGCATTTTGAACAATTGAAGTGTAAAATTTTGGCCCTTTTCGAAGTCACACTTCGCCATCCATAATTAATTTTGAAAACACTTCGTCATAAAGTTTGCGAGCTCTAGTTTTAGCAGTCAATGATTGCTTATTTGATCGCTTTGGATATTTAATGGCTTGTCAAGACTTGAAATTGTAAAATTTGTTAACTTTCCTGACAAAATACTCTAAAACTTTTTTTTTTTTTTCAAAATACTCTAAAAATTTTTTGTTTACATTTGATGTAATATATATAAATTACATGCTTTTCAAATAAAAAAAAGGATTCTAAAAGAAGATCACAATGATCTTATTGTCTGAAGTCTTTTACAAAAGAAAGTACGTAAATTATTCTAAAAACGCCTTTTTATAATAAGAGTACATAAAAAAAACATAACAATAAATCGTACTTAAATAAATGTAAATAAATTGCAAACATGTATAAAACAAAACTTGAACATACATGACAATAAAAATTATATTTTTATCACAAGATAAATTAACTTTATACCATTTGTCTCGTTCTCTATTACTATATACTAACTGCTGCTAAATCCTTAAAGCCACTCTTCTTCCAGATCCTTTTGCTCGTTCAATAGATAGAGAGCTCTTGTATTGTTTTATGACCAGTTTTGCTAGATTCAGATGCTATAGCAACTGAAAGTAACGATACAGAAGGATTTTATAGATAGTTGTGCAGAATGTTTTTTTGTTTTTCGATGACAATTTTAATTAAGAGAAAAATTTTGACTCGTTTGTTGATACTTTTAATTAATACTATTATTACCTAATGTAATTACCTCAAAAAAAAAAAAATTTAAATGTGTTAATGACAAGTTTTAAAACAAAACTCATCGTTCCGAATATAAAAACTGCATGTTTCATTAAAAAAAAAGTTCAGAAAAGGTTCCATCAGCCAGTCCAGATACCGAATTTTCGGATACCTAAAAATCTGAACCGATTCCGGTTCCGATTTTATCGGATATTGGCTACATTCGGATAGGAAACCGGATTAATCAGAATCCGAATTGGACAGTCTTCTGCTTTTGCAAACATGTTGACTATTTTTTTTTAATTTACTTTCGTGCTTAATACAAGTGGATGTGAGAATAAAAGTAGTGGTGAGAATTTTAGTCATATCTATAAAACGAGGAGGGAGGTGTGTTTTACCAAAAGTGTTGGTGGAAATTTTTTCTTAAATTTCATTTCAATTTTTCTGAAAATCAATAAACGTCCCCTTCCGTTAATTAGGCACGCAAGAGTACACAGTTAGCAATTTAACTCACAGAACTGCAACAATAACATTTAAGTATTAAACAGCCTGAGTGTACAAAAAAAAACATTTGTTTAAGCGAGTTCATGAATGTCTTTTATATTTCATACTAAAAAATT